CCTTTAAGTAAAGTGCTATCCCTGGTTTTCCTTCTATTAACTATCCCTGGTTTTGATAATTTTGAAAAAAATATTAAAATTTGTCGAAACCAGTATTTTTTGAGACACTCTGCTCATTGTAATGGTTTGATGTATTTTGTAGTTAGCTGGCTCTTCAGTGTTTAGTTTTCTTGTTGCTCAACAGGGAAGGTGAAAGCTATTTTTAATGACGCGATTTTTGAATGAGGCAAACAATGACGATCTGCAGGGGTTGAATTTGTTTTCAAAATCTAATTAGTTTCTAAATTCAAAAAGAAACAAGTTTAAAGTAGCATAAGGAACCAAGTTTGTGAGAAAAAAGATTAAATAAATTTCTTAAGGTTGTCTCATCCTTTTGTGGGTAACCCTGTAAGAAAATTATGTAAAAGAACTCTAGTAAAATATTATAATTTTGTTTTAGTACTTTGCACGCTTGAAGCAGGTGGATCTTTTAAAACTAGACTCGGTTTCATTTTCTCCGCTGAGTTTGAGATCAAACAGGCGGAAAATGCCTTTCCTGACAACCTAATGACACCTTCCCCCCAGGAATATGCATTTTCAACTTCTCATTCATTTTGACATTTTTAAAACATTCATATTCTGTACAACTAGGAAATCACACAGAATCCTAGCAAACATTGCATGGTGATTATAAAAGTCGTCTTTATATTCGCGGCATTTATTTATAACAATTTTCAAATATATTGAATATTGAATTCTACTAAGCTATGAGGGCGCTTTAAAGTCCTTTCTAATAAAAATATTATAGCTTCTATTGTTGCCTTTAAGTCACATCGTACATCGTGAAATTAAATTTTGCGGATTTTTTTCTGCATAATATATTACGTTTTTCTTAATCGACATTTTTCTAGGCAACATTTTTAATTTTGGTTGGCCATAAACCTTTGGGTCCAATTGGCTAAAATTTTAGGAGAAGGAGTAGATTGCATTATTCTATACCATTCTATACCAAAAAAATGGATAGGAACTTGGGATGTTTGTTTCACTGTTATTAGCAAAAAGGGGGAAGGGGGGGGGAATTGATCTTTTGCAACACAACAAAGGGGAAAAGGGGGGTAAATCTTTACTTTTTATGGTTGTAAATTGAACTTTTCCTTGCGCAAACATGTGGATCACTGTACATTGTAATTACAAAACTTATATCATTTCCTTATCTAAAAACACAACTTATTATTTTTGTCGAAAATTTTAATTGTAATATTAAGCATTTACAGCTTTTAAAAAGGCCAAAGAGACACCACCTCCTTTGAAAGTAGTACGACTTCACTTAAATAAAATCACACTTTTAACAAACCAAATTTAAAAGTTTGAGCTTAAACATGCTTTTCTTTGTTCTATTACATTTCTATTTAAATCTATAACTGACATTTTTGTGTACTGTATAATCCCTCCCCTTAAGTTCTATGTTCTTACCTCCATGTTTAGAAGAAACAAAAATGGATCAATTTTTCAGAAACACAAAACCAAAACTTAAAAACTTAAAACAATGAATTTAATCTAGCAACATTTTTGAAAAGCACAATAAGAATATAAACACTTTTATTAATTTTCTAATCTATAACAGTGTAGAATTAACATTTGAGGGGAAATTAGTTCCACAAGTAAAAGTTGGACCAGTTCTAACCTGAGTATTAGAACTGGACCAAGTGTTAGCTATGGAACTAATTTTCCCTGCATTTAACAAAATAATTATAAAAAAAAAATAAACAAAACAACAACACTAAAAACGGTGGGAGGGGGGGGGGGTTATGAAAGAAGAAAGCCAAAAGAAGCAATTGTTTTTTTTTGTACAGGGGTTGGTAATGGAGCTAGTGGGTTGTATAAAATGCCTAAAAATACTGTATTAGTCAAAAAATTCACTCATTTATTCATTTCTCTTGAAAATCTGCGTCGGAGGCCATTTCTCTTTTCTACCGTTTCCCTGTGTTAACATATTGTCCATTGATAGACTGATAACTGTATCCATGCTCACTCTGATCAAAGTGACCGACAGGAGAGTAGGCAGGTGGCGCGTACTGCGCCCCGGCGGCATCTCTGAAAGTCCTTGTCTGCGGCGGACCTCCGCCAACTATAACCGGCTCCGCCTCGTACTCGGTACCTCTAATCTGAGGATACTGCACTCCGCCTGGGTTTCCGTCAACATTACCACGGTAACCTGGAATTAGAAAACAATTAGACTCTCGGCTCAAAGGGACTGTTTACGGATAATGTTAGGGATATAGGCTATAGTGAAGAACGTTTAAATAAGTTTTCCAAAACACCAAGATCTAGATTATTTACCTATATTCCCAAGATTTACATATTTCCCTATATTTCCAAGATCTAGATATTTACCTTTATTCCCAAGATCTAGATATTTACCTATATTCCCAAGATCAAGAACAAAACTGTCGGATTTCCTGGGCTGGGCCTGCCATGAAGGTGTAACTGGATTATTTGAAGGTTTTGCCTTCACTATATCACACCGGATCATCACAACACCTAAATATTTATTTTAAGATTCTATTTCAAAATTATACAAAATAGATTTTGAGGATTTAAAAAGAAATCCAAAGCTTTGTCATGTCAATTTTAATTGACCTAATAAATGACCTTTAAAATGACCTTTTAAATGACCTTTAAAGTACACAATTTATAAAGGTAGCCTTTAATAAAACCTTATCTTATCAATACTGTCGCCAATTTCATCGTTTATCTCGCTAGAAAAGTTTTAATTCTGACAATTTTCTGCATCGTTTCTAAAGCATAAATGCGTTTCAGTCCCTTTAAAGAGGAATCACAATTTAAAACAAATCAATTTTCAAAGAGAATGTGATGGATATATTACTCGGTATTGATGAGACAAAGCTTGTTAATCGGATATACCACTTTATAAATGGAGGGTTACTTACAATTATTTCTAACGTCCTTTAAGTATTTCATGTGAATTTTCAAATATGAAATTTGAGATTTTTTATTGAAATTTGCTACGTTAAAGTTAAAATGCTTTAAACTGCAATAGATAATTACAGTTTTCTGTAGAAATTAAACATGATAATACTCACTTCCTGACGGGTTAACATCGACTTTAAATCTTCTATCTGGGGTAACTATTCCATAGACATGTTCATCATAGAGATCCTCTATATAGTATCCTGTAGGATTATCTAGACCCAGCTCCTTCAAGGTTACTGATACCTACACAATTAGAATTAGGAGTATTCAAATAATTATCATAATAAAAATGATATAACAATGATAATGACGATTGCATATGAGTATTTTGCCCTGTATACCGGCATTATTGGTCTAGCCCAGATCTCAATCCCTTTTTGCTTGTAGATCCTTCTTCCTTGGATCCCCAGCAGGTCCTGGTTTACGCCGATAATCTTCTTATTCTTCAAAATCGCCTGAACATTAACATTAAGATTTATTTAGATTAAACAAAATCACAGAATAAAGATATACAAGGTTACCCAATTAGGATAAGTCTTTAATGACGACCTGAAGCTCTTTAGACAACGATTTGAAGTTTAAGTTGGGGTTTCTGCAAAATTTTGATTGCATTTTAAAAGATTTGGCAAAAAAAAAGTTTACAGCTCTGCAGGGAGCCATTATTGTCTCTGAAGTCTCGTCCTATGTTAAATTGTTAATTAATAATTGATAATATATCTCCATTTGTTTCTTTACCATTTCTTGCAAATACAGAATTTAAAAAGACAGAAAACTTATTCAAGTTTTTTATCATGAAAATTTATAATCCTAAAAAAAACTTTACACATTTTTGCCAACCATATTAACACATGGATGAGTGAGCACGCCAGAAAATAAATATTAAAGCAATAATTTAACCTTTAAAGTTTATTAAGATTGGAAAACTATTTCCGTAAGTATAATGTTAAAAAACGAGAAACTAGTTAAACCAGTTAAACCAGTTTATAAGTAATATATCCTTGTTTTAATGTTTTTAAACCCCCAAATTGACATTTACATAAAATTTGACTTAAAGTTGAAGTAAAAGATTCTGAAACACTAGGCTATTAGGGCGCTTCGCGCCCATCTTCCAGTTCCATTGTGAATATGTTCTCTCTGTGTATAAATTGTAAAACAAAAACAAAAGATTTTGCGGATTTTATAAAAAAAAATCGTAGATTTTCAAATTTTCAAAAAAATGCGCGTCCTATTGTAACTAATCAAGCATTAATCTTATATACGAAACAAAGCGTCAATATTGAATGAATGTGTATAGTGTATATGAACTATGTATGTGCTACAAATGTTTTCTCATTTAGTCTTAGGGGTTTAACTGAAATATTGAGATGTTTTAGGAAGCAAATTCTAAATCAAATGAACTTGCGTAATTTTTTGTATCGCAAAATATTAGTCATTTTTTTGCAGTTATGTCTAAATGGAACTAATAAATAAGCTATAAGTATGTAGAGATGACACAGCAAATGAATACTTTTGGACCGGAAAGATTACAATAACGCTAGAGTTAACATCACACTTAATAATTTAGAATATTTTAATTAAGAAGCAGAAATTTACTTTCTATTGTTATTGTTCTAATTACTGATAATATTTATAAAATGATATATTCCCTTGTCTTGTTATTAATTTAAAATGAAACAATAAAAACCATGAATTAACAAAAAGTGAGAGTGAAAGTGACGCCATGAGACAACCAGTACGTATTTTCTACGGCACGGTGAAGGTCGGTCTCGTTTGTTTTACAGAAACTTCAGATAAAGATACACCAAAAAATTTAGTCCTCTTTTCGAAAACACTCCCTTTACTACAAATTAAAGAATTATTGAAATCTTTTATGTTTATTAATCATAACTTCTNTGACCCCGTCAACCTTGTTGCACCGGTTAGTCCTATTGAGTGTCTGCTTTATTTAACCAATGTCCGGGCGATACAGTACAAACTGGGACCGGAAAGGTTGATCCGGCTCGGAAATTCAAATTTACTACGGCTGCCCGTGAGAAGAACATAAACGTTTTGAATTTCAAAATCTCATACTTTTCTGTAAACTCATAAACTGCAAGTATGCAGTGCTGTGGACAAATTCTTCAGGGTTTATTTGAGACATATAAAACGTTTCCACGGTGTATAATTACTGAGATTGAGTGTATAGTCAACGTTCAAAATCATGAATTTGGGTGGGTACGTTTTAAGAATCGGTTTTTTTAATTATTAAATATCGACGACAAAAAAATAAAGTAAAAATTCTATAGTAAACTAATTAGATGTTTAGGAACATATTTCTTAAAAGAATTTTGTCAGTAAATCGAAGTTAGAACTAATTATTTCTTTTTTCATCATAATGAATTTCTTATTTTCAATAAATTTGTTCGCAGATTTCTTCCAATTCTTCAAATGTCGGCTTTTTAATAAATATTCCGGAAAATCTGCAGAAAATCTTTGTGATTATGGAAACTAATAATTGAATAAGATTACTTATGATAAGAGTTAATTTTTATTTTCTCAATCTGAGTCTAAAACTAAAGAATGCGCGAATTTTATGTTCGGGGTTAAAAGTTCTGTAAAATAATGAGTAGCTACTTAAATATTAAACTTTCTCAATTTTAAATTTGAATTTCCCGGGAAAAATTTCACCCAATCAGAGAAAAGGATTTATGGAGAATATTACGTAACCATCGCTAATCAGCTGTTTTAGTTAACTATAAAATATTTACGTAACCGAAAACAAAACATATTTCCAGTTACAACCGTATTTTGGGTTTACGTGCAAACATTAATAAATCTAAAACGCGAATTTTATTAAATCAAGGTTTTTACTTTTAAATAAATCGTAATTAGTTGAATGCCGCTTATCGTTGAATGATGATAGACAAACAGGGATAGCGGGATTTCAAGATTTTAACCCTGTGTTTAAATTTTAACTCGTCGATTTCGGCGAGTTAAATATTTAACCACAGGGTTAAATATTTAACCTCACGGTTAAAGTTCGGGTTTATAAATTAAATCAGAAGTGGCATTTAACCATGAACTTAAAATTTAAGTCAAAACTTTTCGTTCTTTAGTTTTAGACTCAGTTCCTAAACAACTAATTAGTTTACTGTAGAATTTTGTTTACATTTTTTGTCGTCGTTATTTAATAATTTAAAAAACAGAATTCTGAAAACGTATCCACCCAAAAGTACGATTTTGAAAGTCGACTTTGCGCTCAAACTCAGGATTTACAGATCTTTAAAAAGTTTTATATGTCTCAAATAAATCCTAAAGAATTTGTCCACAACACTGCATACTTAGTTCAACTACCTTACATAGCCGGTCTGTCCCTTTAAATGAAATGAATTGTTTATACCTTATAATCAGGTTTAAGAGTTCTGAGATCGACAGACATGAGAAGAGGCGCGGCGAAGATCGCCCACATTGCCATTTGTGTCTTACACTGCTCGTAGGACAGGCCAAAATTTCCTGGAAAATTTTTTTATTAGAATTATAAATTAGGTTCAATCAATGTGTCTATTTTTACCCAAAATGACTCAAACATTACAGGCAAATAAGTACAAATAANAATCATACCCCCTCTCATCTATTGATTATGTATTGTATGTGAAAAAAGAATTTTCTAAATTCTTGGTAAACCAATAATGGGATAATTTATCTGTATTTTAAATATGATCGACTATGTTAACTGCACAACACACCAAAACATAGTTTTAAAAATATCTTTAAAGTACATATGTTCATTGTACACTAGACTGTACTGTACAGGCATTATTAGCAACTTCATTTTCAGTGGTACTGAGATTAAAATATTAAGTTTCATCAAAGATTCATCATCACTCGAAGCTGCAGATTCGTTTAAAAAAGAAAATTAATGAAATATAATTTTGCAGTTTAGAACTTTAAAACTCTTGTCATCGAAATTTATAAGCCTTGTATCACTTTAATTCCTTCCCAATAGAGGCCATAGGTCAATCCCTAGTATATCATCATTGATTACCTATGATCAACATGTCAGGATCGTTCCAGTGTCCGGGTCCAGCGTTGGCGATTATTATATCCTGGTTGTCCCCGTAATAATCAATTGTTCGTTCGATACTGTTCCAAGAGTCCTGGAAATATTATTATTATTATAATTATTATCATTATCATTATCATTATCATTATCATTATCATTATCATTATCATTATCATTATCATTATCATTATCATTTTTACTATTATTAAAATTAAATATCAAAGGTTACCACCATCAGGTTGCAAAGATATAGCGTTTTGAAAATCAGAATTTGTGGCTAAAACTCAGTTCCTTTGAAAAAGTTTTTATTCTTACTGACCTGAATATCGTCAAAGTTTCTCCATAAATTGCAGGTATTGATGATACTCGTGTAATTCGGCTGAAAAACAGAAAATATATTAAATCACAAGTTTAGTGTAAAAATATGGAGTGCAATTTTGTTTTTATTTTTTGTATCATCAGTAAATAATCCTTTAAGAGAATGGAAAACTTACCGTCATTCCTGAATAGGTTTGATAAACAGGCCAAGAACAGGAATATATCATAGGTCTGCCAGTCTACAATATAAATAGTATAGCATAGGTCTGCCAGTCTACAATATACATAATATATCATAGGTTTGCCAGTCTACAATATGAATAGTATAGCATAGGTCTGCCAGTCTACAATATATATAATATATCATAGGTCTACCAGTCTACAATATATATATTATAGCATAGGTCTGCCAGTCTACAATATATATAATATATCATAGGTCTCCCAGTCTACAATATATATAATATATCATAGGTCTACCAGTCTACAATATATATAATATATCATAGGTCTACCAGTCTACAATATATATAATATATCATAGGTCTACCAGTCTACAATATAT